CACTGAGCATAGACCCTATTACTGCTATTGAGGTAAACCAATGTTTTAAATGAGGTTATTGCTTTTGTAAATGTATAAAGCATCGATACATAAATGTAGCTGCCCCTCCTCCACATGGTGTTTCACAATGATTGTTAGTGCTACACTCTGGAGCCAAGGAACCATAGTGGTAGATTAGAGGATAACAGTGGTAGACCAGGGACTCCTATTGGGCAACCAACGCCACAACAGGAAAAGACTGTCACTGGCTGGGACTAACTCTAGATACTAACTGCCAAGGTCCATAGGACGACAGTGGTAGATTGGAAAAGCCTGCCAGGAGGACAGAGAGATATAGAGCAGGGAAGAGGTGCTGGCTTTCCAGGAGCAAGACAACAGTACACCAGAGAAGCAGCAAGGCCAAATAAGAAGGTTGAAGCTTTGACTCAAAAGCGGGAGATTGAAGGCGGACAGTGGTACATTTGAGAAGCCAGAAGGGGAGAGTCCACTTAAGCAGGTACAGGGTTAGGGTTAGTCTCTCTTTGGTGGGAGGCCGGGTTTGAAGCCGGAAGAAGATGGGTTAGTGTGGCAGTGACACTGCTCCCCTTCCCTCCATCCGGATGTCAGGTTCGCCTACTGGGTCATCCGGCAATACCAGTGCTGCTGGGTCCTCGGTCCTGAGATTATTGGATGTGAGTTTTATGTGTGAATGTGCGTCGCGTTTTTTTTTTTTTTTTTTTTTCCACAGAGACTGTTTGTTGCGATTGGAGGCACTAGGGTGGGAAGGCATGATTGAGACTGTGTATTTTTCTGGTCAGGTTCTGGTCTGAACTGCTCCCTCTCTCAAGAACATCTCAAGTCTCTGCTAAGTGACTTGACCGATTCCCCGCGTCCTGCCCCCCTCTGCTGGCTGGTGCTTTGGCTTGCCGGCACACTGACAGTGCTCAGTGTTTGGGGGTGGATGCCCGGGCAGGTACTGACTTATTCCTGGTGGATGCTTGGCGGGGCCCGGTCGGGGCTCCCGTCGGGGGAGGGGCACAGAATTATAATAAAGGTATTTATATGCATAAATCAAGCGGAACACTATGGTCATAGCCGTGGTGCTCCACTTGTGAAAGCAAAATCTGTTGGGCTCTCTTTTTGGCATCAAGACAATTATTCTTATTGCCACATTGCCAGACAGGACGCTGTTGAAAAGTAAAAAATAAAACAGCTTTTTAAGAATCTATTTGCAAAGCTCTTGCCAACCTAAACTCTCAAGACTAATACCTAAACATGAAGTGATCTTTGGTAAAATACATGTAGCTCCTACTTGGCTTACACCATATGATGGGTGACTAAATACGGTGTAACACCGTGTCCCGTGTGTCCACCAGAGCTACTCCCAGTTTGTCCATTAGTCCGGTGAGTTTTTCATTAAAAAAAGTTTAGTCTCTGCTATGCTCCATTAGTTTACATCACAGCCACATCCAGTCCCTAACCAGTTAACATAAATTGACAGAAAAGTTTAGATTTCGGAATTTCAGGGTAATTTCAATTTGCTATGTTCGCAGTTCTCCATCACTCTATCATTGCGTCCAGCCTGCCTAGTGCTCTTCTGTTTTGCTCTGGTCAACAAATTTACACCTTGTACATTGCTTGAAATGTGTCTTTCACATAGCTGACCGTATCTTCGCTCTTGAACATGCATTTACATGAAACTCCTACATGTCAATCAAGTGTGAAGCACCCTAACAACAACCGTATTCAAGCCTTTTTAATAATTCCGTCCTACTTTGTGAGTTCTGATCAAACAACTTCATATATTTACCTTTTCAAATCCGAAGTTGGAGAACCATTCTCCTGCTCTATGAAGAGAAAGTGTTTTAGGTACTTTTCTCTGGAATGCAGCTTGTTGTACCAGCTTACGAATAGAATAAATGTTTTGCAACTCACTTGAAAGAAAAAGGGTTAAACTATTCTATACTCACCTTAGAAAGGACATTTTTAAAGCAAGTTGGATATATAATTTATATCCATTGAATTCCAATTGCCTGTTTTATTATTCCTGCTGATCCACAAAGGATGCGATATCAATCAGGTTTCAAAAGAGAAGAAAGTTAGGGTAGGGTTAAGTTTATTATTTTGGGATTCTGTTCTTACTTTAACACTATTAGCTTTCAGATGTCAAAAAGTTTTACAAAAATATCTGCAATTTGTACTGCAAATCCACACTGATACAGTATAACAACTAAGGCTGGCATTTGACTTTACAAAGAGGTGTTTCTTCTGAAAAAGATTTCTAAACTGTAAACAGTCACTCAAGAGCTGTGCTGAGGTACAGTAAGGCCAGTATAATGTATCTATAAAGTGGCATTTGCTCTTAGATACCTAAACTTGTAACTACAAGGACTGTGGTACAGTAGTATCAACAGTTTGAATAACCGACTGTCATGTATATCAGATGTAAAAAAAGTGAAAATATATATTGGATTTCTGCAGCCTGCCGTAGATTTCAATTGCATAGAAACAAAACAATTTTAAAAAGTCTTTTTGGAGACTCAGTGCCCATGTATTTCTTTTAGGTCCTCTCAACCCTTTGGTCCGGAGCTTATCAGTCCATGTAGGATCTTGAAAAATTATCTTTCAATAGTTTTACTCATACTTCTATTACCTATGGTAACACTCGCATGAGTATTGCTTGTGCACGAAATGGTTTAATAAATCAAGTTATTTTATAAACACGAGGCCACACTTTCACTGAAATATGTGCTGTCAATGTGACAGCCTGATAAAACCACTGAGGGTTGTATAAATCAGCTGAAAATGCTGCTTTCTCAGATGTCATGCATAGTTGGAATGCATGCTGTGACAAAAGACTCATACTGGCATCTTCAAATCCATCACAACTCCTCACTGTCTGATTAGTGAGTATAAGGAGGCAGGGGTACATGTCAGACTATAAATGAGACTATTTTGGCATAGCGATACTAATTTACTGTTGTTTAGTCTTAATAGATTGAATAAATGAATCAATGAAAGAGTCAATGCTTCCTCTAGAGATTCGGGAGTTCTGACACAGTTACATTAAGTGATTTCACAGTTTAATCCATAAACCTCTGTAACATAGACTTCTAGTCACAGCTTTACATACAATTGTCAACTTCATGGTGTTTTTTTTTTTTTAGGTATTTATTATGACATTATAGCTGTTCTATGCATGAACTAATTGTGTGACATACATCGTAAAGAATTATTTTTTACACAAGCTTATATCACCGTTCATAATATTGCTCAAATTTCTGAACCTGTCTGTAACTGTATCTTTTTCTTGGTATAAACACGTTTTTCAAATAGCTGAATAAACTTCCACTCATACAAAATTTGATCTATTTACTGCATTAATTTTTCTTTTTAATTGGTGTGATGTATTCCAAAATTTAGGATGAGGCAGAATATTTTAATTAGCCCTTCTTCGTAATATTTGTATCAACTTTTAGCACTTCACCAGTACTAACATACAAACATATCCTGTGTACAGTTATATCAGTATGATGCTTGACAGCTGGGTGCTCCATTTAAAAAGTCTCTTCTTAACTTTTCCAAACATATTTTGTGTATGAGGCTCAGTCTTTGTCTCACTGTACCTCTCTCCAGTGGAAATGTGGATTTTCCATGTCAACAAATTATGGGCAACTGCAACTTTCAGCTTAACTTAAACGTGTTTTGTGTTTTATACAGGGCTTTGTTTCTTATTCTTTTTTTCTTTTTGTGTGTCCTGATTTGCTAATATAGCCCTGGGAATAGATGTCTCAGAAGTAGAGGATAGCCCAACAGGTTTACTTTCATAAGCAGACCATTATTCTGTATATATATCTAATTTGTCGGCAACATCAACACCAAGTTAAATTCCTTTTAAGGGCAAACCTACTCTGCAATAAATCTAAATCTGATTCATATTACTTTTACCATAAGATTCCGCTTTGTACTTTATTTAAAATTATTTAGGGAGTAAAATTGTGTACAACAAGCAGGGAGGTGAGAAGGAAAGAAGTGATAAGAACTAAGGGGAGAGAGAAATCTATAGAGACAGGAAAGAAAGAACCCCCAGCAGAAATAGACAACACTGAAGATATACAGTAACTCATAGAAGTCCGCTTCCAACCATGAGACAAGAGGGACGGAAAACAAAGAACATAACAGCAAAAAGAAGACAACAAACAACCAAAGTAAACAAAAAAGCTTGCAGGGGGATGGTTTTACCCTTAGATATCAATGTATGGTGAAAACAAAACCTATGGTGATTACACAGTATTATGTTTTAGGGTAGTATATATCTGTAGCTGCACCTTAGTTTTTAGTAGTAGTGTGTATCCGTGAACACCTGGAACCAAACTCCCATGGTATCATCGTGTGTAAAGGATTTGCAAAGCTTCTTCAGAGGGAAAACTTGCTTAATAACAGGTGTGGGCTGCCAAAGACTCAACCTACAGATATAGCGATGGTCGCACCGTTCAGAGAAGAGCAGATTATATATTTTAAGGTTTATCTTAATCAGAAATATAGGTAAGAATATAGACAGAATCTTTGTCATGTTTTAGCAGGAGACTAATATTTGCAGAATTCATATTTGGTGGAAGCCTGCCCTTCTCCTTGGTGTCCTGTAGCATTCTGTGGAATGTTGGTTACAAGATATTCCAGAATTCTGTATAGAATTCTACTGGAAATCCATCAGAGCCTTAATATCTGCCGTGCCTTTCACAGCTTCCTACAATTCATCTGCTGTTAGCGGTGAATTCTGGGTCCTGGCCTGATTATCAGATAATTGAGGAAGTGTTACTTTGTCTAAATAAATTATTAATGTCACTATCAAATGAGTGTATTGTTGATGAGTATATAGCTTTATAAAAGTGTATTCAATAATCTGATTTCTGGCACAGCAAATACCAGATTTACAGTAACTGTACTTGTGTTACTACATTACAATACTCTGAAAAATCATTTTGTGTGTTTGTTTGTATTCTTTTTCTCTTTTAGATGTTCAAAAGACTTTAAAGGGAGATTTGGACAATATATTTCTTCAAACAGAACCTCTCACCAAAACAGATCCGAGAGGAACGAGGACAACAAATTCCAGAAAGTAAAGTAAAGTTTTTACTCCAAATCCTTTCCTCCTGTTTTGTGGAACCAATCTTGCAACTCTGAGCTTGATTTATGTTTATTTTCAAATCTTAAAATCTTGCAGCACATACAGCTACACCATTAGGGTATTCTATGTTATTAATGCCAACAAAAAATAAATAAATCAAGCAATCCTTTGAACTGAGGGTATAATTAGATATTAACCATTTTGATTGTCATTTTTCACAGCTTTTAGCTGGAAAACTGAAGATCAGAGTTCTGAAGGATGACACATCAATAGGTGAGAGTTTGAAACTATAATTAGGCACAGCTTCAACATGTTTGTACCATAAAGTAGACCTGTACAAAATATTTGGACCTGTCAATCTATCGGTTATCCTTTTTGAAAGCATATTGGAACCGATTCCAATTCAAATGCCTTAAACATGGGTACCATAGTATAGTTTTTAGTTTAGAGATATTTCTAGCAATAGGTAGAGCTTATACTGTAGGGTCAAACAGTGTTCACATATATACAGTATTAGCACCAATGGAGCATTTGGTTCTCAATGTTCATGCCTCTATGAGTGCCCCGCAGATGGACTATAAGTATTAGTTACACAAATCAGAAAGTTGGACAGGCTGCTATCACCTTAAAACTTAGCTTAAAAACATAGGTGAAGATTCTTAGTCATCCACGTCATAGTGGAAGCCATAAAGATGCCAAAATGACACCATCCCAATGGGGTGGAGTCCTTCATCTGTTTTAATTTGTATGATTTCAAAAAAAACAAAAAAAAAAACAAGGCTTTGTTGGGCTGCTGTATAAAACCTCAAACTCAAAGCTATTCCTGAACTTTTGAATTGAGAAAGCTTCCTGGATGGGAAGCAAATCATCTTCAAACTTGGCAACAAAGTCCAGTGGATTGTTTTTAATTTTCTTTTTTTGTAATTCACTTTAAAAAGCATGGTAACTCTTTCCCAGTGAAGATAGAGTGTCTGCGTAGTGTAGCATGAGTCATGTTATTACTCATTGATGCAAAGATTTTGTAGCCAAATTCCCTCAAACTGCAATATTTTGTAGGATTCTTATCTCAGAGATGGGATTGTCATGCTGTGGAGTTGATATTGTTTAGCTTGGGTTCAGATTACTGTATGTGTTTTACAGTGGGTGATATAAGTTTTGAACATGAAACCAATTTCTCGGTTAATATATTTCTTGAGGTGCTATCAACATGACATTTTCACCAGATGATGCTAACAATCACTGCAATCCACATATACAAAACATCTAATGATAGATGTCCAAAATTAAAGTTGTGTTATAAAGTGAAATCACAGAGGGAAAAGTATTAAACACCCTTTCAGAAATTTATGTAATACTTTGTAACAAAAGCCTTTGGAAATGACAGGTTCAAGATGCCTCCTCTATGGGGAAATTGGTGGCATGCATTGCTAAGGTGTGATTTTGGCTCATTCCTCTATGCAAACAGTCTTCAAATCTTTAAGGTTTCCCAGGCCCCTTCTGCTTATCTTTCATTTTTTCTATAGATTTTCTGTTGGACTCAAGTCAGGTGATTGGCTAGGCCATTCTAGCAGTTTTATTTTCTTTCTCTGAAACCTATTGAGAGTTTCCTTGGCTGTGTGTTTGGGGACATTGTCTTGCTGAAACCCACATTTTATCTTCATCATCCAGGTAGATGGATGTAGATTTTATCAAGAATGTCTCTATATTTTTCCATTCATCCTTCCATGAATTATTTGAGGTTTGTCCATACCATATGCTGTCTAAATGTAGGGCAGCAAACTTTACATGCACTTCAACATGCTTTTTCTTCAGCAATGGAGTCTTGCGTGGTGATTGTACATACAGGCCATGGAGGTTGAGTGCATTACTTATTGTTTTCTTCTAAACATTTGTACCTTCTTCCAGGTCTTTCTGAAGCTCTCCACAAGTAGTATTGGAATCTTGCACTACTTTTCAGATAATTCTTTTCACTTCAAGAACATATCATGGTCGCTTTATGGTGAAATTATGATCTCTCCACTTCCGGTTTATGGTCCCAACATTGCTCACTGGAACATTTAGAAGTTTAGAAATCCTTCTGTAATCATTATCATTTGGAACAATATGGTTGCCAAGGTCTTGTGAAAGCTCCTTGCTTTTACACAACATGAGATATTTTTTGTGTGATACCAGACAACTTTTTATAGGCCATCATTTGCGAGTGAACCAGCTGATAATATTTTGCACTCACAAGGAGTACAGTAGGAGGCTTTTTAATTACTGAGAGATTTTAGGTGGTTTGTTGGCTTTCTATGCCTTGTTGATCCTGCCTTTCTTCACGTGTTCAATACTTTATTCCTATGACATTCCACATTATTGCACAAAACTTAATTTTGATAAATCTATGGGTCAATTTCTTTGTTTGTGTGGATTGCATGGATTGTAACTGACATCTGAAAATGTCATGTTGATAGCACCTCTATAAACTTTACTGAGAAAAATGGTGACATGTTTGATTCTTCTTTTACCCTCTGTACATGCAAAGGAAGGTGTATAGGAGTATTATTTTCCTAATTGTTCATCTTTTTACAACATTGAAAAGTAAGGCAGGTGCACAAGAGTGTATTTGTTTATATAAAGAAGTGATTCATATAACACTTTGATTTAGGAGGATTCAAAATGTCCTGATATCGGTTATCGAAAATATCAAACGGTAAGTACAGCTGGGATTCCATTTATATTGTTAGTTGGTGTTGCAAAAGGTTGTTTTGGATCATATCATCAGTATGAGATGCATTTCACAACAGAATTGAAATACTTAATTATTCCAGTTGTGCATCAACATTATGCTTACCTTTGTTTGTAAAAAAACATATGATTAGGAAAAAACAAGTTACTTTGAGATCCACACAAGTTCTTCAGCAAAGTCTTGTGCACACTATTTCCTTTTCTTAAAAATGTGCTTGGATTGTGTTTGCCAGTTCATTATGCAAGTACAATCCAAATGTCAATAAAGATAAAGTCCCTGTGCCAGGTGTCAAAATCAGTGTGTTTACTCTTAACAGACCCACCTCAGTCAGCAGCTTCCCATTCTGTCCCTACCTCTGGTACTGGACTGACAAGCAGAGTAAAGGCAACGATCTCAAGACCATGTGAAACCAAGACAACTAAATTAGTAAGGACAGAAATACATTTGATATTTACTCTCTGTGTATTTTAATTTACTCACTTTTAAGGAAACATTTGAAGACAAAGCCACATGTTGTCACTTTGTTATTGCTTACTGGCATCTATTGGATGAGTCCCTTTATCAGTTGAAATAAAGTTTATGCAGTCTATATTTATCCTTTTGCCAAAGCATAAATATTTACATTTGGTTTTAAGCTCAGGTAGTAATGAACTTGAGCTACATTCAGAAATTGAATCTTAAATCGCAAATTTTACTTGTTTTTGCCCATTCTTTTTCAACCCTGTTCCTACTCTCTCGCCATTCATCTGTTGATTTCATTTGTATGCATTGTTCTCTGAGATGCCTCTTGATTTACAGTAATTCTGTTCTTTGTCTCCTCTTCACTTTCACTTTCTGCTGTCATTCAGATGCCCATTATCTCCTTATTGTTTCCCTCTTGATCATTAGGTTTATCCATCTTTCTTCGTACCAAACACTTTATCTCCCTACTCCTTTCCCTCCCTTCAATCTGCTTTATAATGAAGTTGTCTTCCCTGTGTCTTGTTTACCTGGGATTCTTTATCTTCTCTCCTCCTTTGCGACACCTCAACTGTCCTATCAAACAGTCGATCTGAGTGTTTGTGTTTGCACTGATAACTGTTTAGTTGGATCCATTCATCGATACTGCCCCTAAGGGCTCTGTTGTTTACTTTTTCTCAGTCTTCTTTCTCCAGCTCTGGAGGTGCGACAGCTACTCCTAAATCTTTGTGTGAAAAAAAGTGAATAACTCCTTGTTATGATTTTTTTCCTTATGTTTTACTATATATTTAGCTGTCTTTAATTTACTACTGATGCCTCCAAGTGATGGCTGTGAGAGCAAGACAGACTCACAGAGAATATGAAGGAGGAGGAGGGGTTGAGTTGGCTGAGTTGACATCCTGCCCTTTTATGTTGTGGAATAAGTTATTCAAATCCAGCACACAAAATGCATTCAAATCTGATGTGGTAATTTGCCTGAAAGTGCATGCGCTGATGATGGCATTGAGCTGTCTATTAAAGTGGCCAATGCCCCCAGCCTTCCATAGCGATAGGTTTAATGTCAGCACTTACTGTATAGCATTCTGGGCGGACACATAGACAGAATGCAAGCACAGATACACACAATGCCCTAATATGCAGACATTTTACATAGCTCTTGTACCATATAATGATTGTGATATAGGGAAGCTTTACAGCTATCTCCACACCACTGTCTGAAAAAGCACTTATGCACACAGCTGCTCAAATACACCTGCAAATGCAAACTTCTTGCCATAAGTGCATTTAGGCTTGTCTGAAGTCATGACTCAGAGTTGGACATAATTTACCAATGCCCCACAGGCACACAGACTCTGCACAATCTTTTCAGTGTCATCTCGACAAAAAGGGGAAAAAAGGGCTGGAAAAACTGCCTACCTTACTTTCTGCATAGAAGCGCAGAATGTAGTGATATGCTGCTTGGAACCTGATAGGGAAGCCTCATCCCCAGGGAGTGACTGTAATTTATCCTCATGCCCGGAGGAGGAAAATGAGGCTGTGTTTTACGGTATGCTATCAAACTACTGTGTAACAGCTGTAAGTATTTGCGTGCATGCTTACAGACATGCTCTCTAATAGAAGCAGCATTTCAGAATAAAGAATTAATGCTATACACATTACACATAGCATAACTTACTGTGATTATGAGGATCTTATTGGATAAACAAGAACTAAATAACTGTGAAAGGAAGAGAGATTCATTTCCAAACTGAGGCTGGAAATTTGCTATGTATTCTTTAACAACAATTTTATTAAGTTGTTGATTTTAGTGCCATGTTCTCCTAATCAGTTTCTAGTATAAGCCAAGAACAAACAAATAAAACAAAAAAAGAGCTTTAATAAAACAGTGGCATTTAATTACCTTTAAAAATGTTCATGGAAATACATACATTAAAGGTATAGAGGACGATCTTTTATTTCCAGGTGGATCATCTAAATAAGTGGTCCTTCTAATTGTCAATCATTCTGGTGATATGTTAACGTAAGGCCGTCCTACGCGTTCACCCCGTTAGCTATCTTTTTCCTTGCATGCACACTTTCAGAATCTTATCTGTGGCGAGTTACGGTTTCATTGAAGCTCAACTTTCTCACCGCTGTCCTTTGAAAATGGCTGAGGGTCCTAAGAGAAAAAGTGTCGAAGTGCATTAGAAGAAAAGAAAGGCCTCAGAAGAGGCAGATATATCCCAGAATGCTTTGTGTAGAGAGCTCTCCTAGCAAAACATTACGGGATTTGCTGTCACAGCAACCCTCTGTCCACATAGGGACCCGACATCAGCGACTAATAGCAAAAATAGCGCAGGCAACGCGCAGTTGATGAGGAATTACGTGACCACTGGAGCAAAAAGCAGTGATCATTTGTCTGAACAGTCAGTTAACTGAGTTTGCTATAAAGTCCACTACATAGTCCCAGCTGTGTGTGGACACAGTAAGCTTGTATGAGCTATGAGAACAGCACATTTTTAACAAGGCATGCTCGAGGAGAAATTCACGCGTATTTTTTCTAAAGTGGAAAAAAAATCCTCCACAGTACCATTAAATATCTTCTTTGAAAAATTATCTAGCTTTTTGTAAAAGGAGAACTATCAAAGCAGCTTAGTGAAAGCACTTTTATTGATTTATGCTGCCTTATTTTTCTGGCAGGCAGTCCCTCATTTCTTTGTGGAATATTCAGTCAAACAGGATGTGACTTACACTGCCACTCGAAGTGTCTTTTTTTCTTCAGAGAGAACTTGGGAAAATTGCTTACATATATTTCTATGTGTACATTCTGAAAAGCCTTGAAACTAACTTTAGTCTAGCTTTAGCCTAGAAGTCCAACAAATCTGCATTCACCCACCCTATTCCTGGCCGTGTTGTAAGACCATTTATGAAAGTCATTTTTGTTAAACGATTAGAGGGTATGAATAGGTTATCCAGTTTAAATGTAAATGTAAACATTCCTACATGTTTTAATTTGCATCTACTGTGCTTGACACAGGTTGTTTACATGTAGTTCATCTTGGTAGAAATTGACATAGAATTTGATAGAGACACATTATTAGTCATTGGAAAAAGGTTGATAGAAACTCTACCTGCTTGTAATGCTTTTAAAATATTTTTGTTATAGTTAAAAATATATGGAAGTTTAAAATACTGAATGAAAGAAATCAAGCAGTATGTGAAAAGAAATATTGAGATTTTATTTTACTTTTAATTTTTTGCCTTAAAAGCCTGCTCTTTTAGTGTATTATTATTCCATCACTGTGTCGTATTCACCCCCACCTTGCCTCTGTGGACCATCCACCTAGGCTGGGCATATCTCCTTCACCTGCTGATGCAGTGTTTTTTTATCCCCTCTATGACTTGAGGATCTTTTAAGTTGCAGTGATAATGACCTCCCTAAAGATGCCCAAAAATGCATATGCACATCTCATGTTCTCCTGGTGCAGTGACATAAGGTACATGTACAAAAAAAGCACTTCTGTTGTTCCTAAAATCCCTGCCAGAGGGTAAATTCAGTACTCCTTCTGTCAAAGTTTGTCTGGCAAAGATGAGGTTGGAAGATAGGGTAATGCTCAAGTTTAAGTTTAAACAGGTTTTCACAGATTGCTACTAAAGAAGGGTAAAGGAATGTGAACCTGCACAGTAGGTGTGCTCTAAGCCCTTTTAAAGGACTACGGCACAGGTTATTGCACAAATCTTTACATTTTTGTCTTTAATACATCCTCCATGGCTCTCAGTCATATTGTACCCATATCCCCGTGCATACATACTGAAGAGAGTCTTTGTCTCTGTTGTGATTTATACTGAGCACTACAACTTAAGCCTCTTTGACAGGTTTTAACAGAAGGGGGCACTGAAGCTCCACAGCAGGATCTTTATTCATAGAAGCTGTATCACATGTGTATTAAGCCTGTTCCCTATCCATGTTCAGTCACTTCAGTTTCAGTTATATATCTTACAGGTCTGCTCTACTTAAGTTTTACTCATTCTCCTACTTTACCTGGCTTAATTTTAAGTCAGTAATATATCAAAATTTACCTCTACAATACATCTGTTTCTGTTAGTTGGCATGTGTTCATTTTTAACAGGTGCCTTTCTTGTCAGTAGCCAGCAGTTTAATTATGAAATACTGAGATAATAAAGCCAGTCCTATTCTGGATACAAATAATAAGTGAGAGAGGTGTAGACAAGAAAGAGCTGGTATATAATGCAGTGAGGAGCATTGGGGACCATCTGGCTACTCCAAACGTTCAATAGAACTGGGTAGAGTAATTTCTGGAATACAAAAGAGACCCATTTCACAAACTTGAATTAGAACTATCTGATTTGAATGATCTAAAGCTAAATAAAAGAGTAATGTACATTTTTTGTATGACTTTTAACTGCTGTTAACTGCAGTTGTTTATCTCTTGGTTTGTACAAACAGGTTGTTTTCTCTATAGAATTGCAAAGTTAACCAAACAACTGCTTTTTTCGCTCAAATGAGCAAACCAAAACAAACAGCTTTTAATTTATGCTCAATTCATACAATATAATACAGCTCATAATCGTTCAAGCACAAAGTACTGATTTTATATTTGATGCAACTCTGTTGGGTTTGCAGTAGTGTGCCTAAATAGTGTTGTGATGCACAAACAACCCCCATGTACTTTACTTAGTCTGAGACCATAACAACTCAAAAATAGTTAATGCAATCAAAATCTTTTTTTTTTTTTATCTGGATCTTATTTTATCAATAAATGCCTCATTGAAGTTGCCTCAGATAAAGAATATGCTCTCAGTGATGCTTAAAGTGTGACCAAGTTGTAAAAGAAAATAAATCTGATATCTAACTCCTGGACTGATAGGGAAATGAAAATCTATTTCTAGTTATCTTTTTGAAACAAGATTTGATAAAGTCTAATAAAAATCAATTTCCCAATAAACTGTTGTCATAGTAAATTTGA